TCCATTGAAGAAGTTTCAGAACGTTTTTTATATGAATTATGTGAGTGCTCTTCTGATTTCAGATCGTCATCATTGCTCTATTTTATTATTATTAATATTATTAGAATTCCAAAAATTAGAATTCAAATATTAGATAGTAACAGTAATAATAATAACTAGTTTACAAACCTCATCATCGTCATCATCATCATCATCATCATCACCTTGTTCATTTTGGGTGGATTGCTAAAAAATAAATAATAAATATAACTAGGTAAAAATGTCAAATAAAGAAATTAAACAACCGGCAAATAATTAATACAATTTATTACATTATCACCCGATTTAGATTTTTTCGATTTCTTCTTTCCAGTTAATTTTTCCGATTTGATCTTAAAATCACGCGCTGTGCTTACTGTGATGTATTGCATTAAGTCAGTCTAACATGAAAAAATAAATATGTATTAAAAATATATTAAGAATTACATTATCATAATGTTCATATAATTTATGTGTGTAATTATTATTATTATTTTTTTACCTTTGATTTCTTTGACAATTGTAATAAATATCGTTCAAATTGTTCCAAAATAAAAATCAAATCAGGTACTATTTTAGATTCTCTCGTTATTCGTGACTATCATAAAAATAGTAAAAAAAATTATTATATATATGAAATTATAGATGAAATTATATATATGAATTATGTATATTTAATTATTATTATTATTGTTATTAAAAGAAAATAATCATATTTATCGATTATACCTTTGATTTTCCACCTTTTTTATTATTATTATTATTATTATTTGTTGATAAAAATGCCGTAAGAAAATTATACATCTGTTCGGTAAATTTTAATCCGGCCAATTTAATTACTTCAATAAAATGTTCTTTAATTTCGCCTGCTTCTGAAATTTTCTATAATAATAATAAGTAAAGAAAACTTGGGATTTAATAATAGTAAAGAAAATTGAAATTTAATAATAATTATGATAATGAAGATCATTTTAAATTTACATATTTTGTTAATGCTACTAATACTTTATAAACTCTCTGTAAACATTTAATCAGATTTTCTGAAGAAGGTGGTTGAAGTGAAGTTTCTTCCAAGTATAAAGTGGCGTTCATAAGTTTTAACAATCTCAAACAAATTTCATGTTCAATTTCTTCTGAATTAATTGATTCATCATCTAAATTCATTTATATATATATATGTAATGAGAATAATAGAATAGATAACAGATAATATAATGAATCACAAGATGAGAATATAAATTTATTTACCATTAATATTACAGAATCCTTTTAACCTATTTAATAACCATTCCATTTCTTCATATATTATATCCAAGAATGATATTAATAATCCTGACACGGTAAGACTTGATTTGGGATTAACAATTGTAAAACAAACATTATTATTATTATCATCATTATTACTATTATTACTATTATTATTATTTATTTCTCCTCTTCTTCTTCCACCTTTTCCCGCTTTTCCAATTTTTCCACCTTTTCCATCTTTTCCATCCTTTCCATCTTTTCCATCCTTTCCTTCTCGTCCACCTCCACTTCCACGTTCATCATCATCATCATCATTACCATCACCATCACCATCACCATTCTTATTATCGGAAGAACTTATTTGATATTCGGTGATTGGACCCAAGATATTTAATAAATCTTGAGAGATTTTTTCAATCGTATCAAAATCTGCCATGTTTCTCTCTAAACTAAGTAAAAGATTCATTAAACTCTTTGATAATCCTATATCTTCAATTGTACGTTCTTTACATAATTTAATAATCCAATTGAATAATTGTTCAATATATTCTTTATTATTATTATTATTATCATCATCATCATCATCATCATCATTATCAGTTTTTTGTGTAAAATAAGTTGTCCAAAGTGATATTGTTTGACATAATGTAAAAGCATCTTTAGTTTGTGGTATTCGGTCACTAAGTGATGAAACCATAAAATCCTATTATTAAACATTTAGATAAAAATAATATATTATTAAATTAAATTTTATTAAATTAAATATTAAACAATTTTTTGTTTTTTT